TTAATATATATATATATATATATATATATTCTTACATCTTGACCCAGTTTCATTGACAGAAATTTTTGTGGTAGAGCCACAGTTTTTCTTTTTATTGGTTAAAGTATTTTCTCTTTCTTTTTATTCATCAAAATATCACTCTTTTCTAGGTAAATTATTTTAAGGACCACTTTGACAAGTGGTGTATGAGTGCACCATGAAAAATTACCATCGGATGCATCTAAGCCTACTGGTTACAATACACCTTATCACACAAGATCTAAATTTCTGAATTTTTTATTAAATTAATTTTTTTTTAAATTACCCAAAAATTTGAACTGTCACACGTCAGTGTTCACCTTCAGAACGGGCCGTTCTAAAAATAGAACGAGCCGTTCCCGATAAAAAAAATAACACATACAAATGGACCAGAACGGCCCGTTCCATATTCAAAAAAAAACATGAGAAGTTGAATCAGAACGGCCATTTTATATTCGGAACGGGCCGTTCCAGATGAAAAAATAACACAGAAAGAATAAACCAGAACGGCCCGTTCTAGTTTCAAAAATACCAAATAACAAGTTAAACTAGAACGGGCCATTCTGAATTCGGAACGGCCCGTTCTAACTACATATTTGTCATACAAACTTCTTTTTAAGCAAAAAAATATATTTTTTTCATTCTACTAAATTATATTTAAAATTTAAGTATAGTATTTCAATTTATAATGTTTTTTATTAGAATTAGAGGTTTATATTAATTATATGCGTAAATTTTTAATTCTAATTAGAAAATAACACCAAACAAAATTTTCTACTATAAATATAATATTCTCTCATTTAAATCATTACAAAAATTTGTTAGTTCTAATTTTACATCTCGACATTTTCCTCTTAAAAAAATTATGTTAACAAATATTATTGGGAGTTTTGGGCTTCATGGGCCTTTGGGCTTTTGACAGCTTCTGAGCTTAGTGAGCTCAATGGGTTTAGTGGGTCTAGGGTTCTCTTTACTTGAGCTTTACATGGATGACCACCTTTCTCATATTTTTTGTAGTATAGGAGTTTATATTGTTTGGTCTTGTATTATGGGCCTTAGTATAAATCTTTTTGGGTTTTAAGCTTATTGGGCCTAGTTTTGGACTTCATGGGGCATTGGGCTTTTGATTGCTTCTGAGCTTTGTGAGCCCAATGGGTTTGGTGGGCCTAGGGTTCTCTTTACTTGGGCTTTACATGGATGACCACCTTTCTCATATATTTGGTAATATAGGAGTTTATATTGTTTGGTCTTGTATTATGGGCCTTAGTATAAGACTTTTTGGGTTTTAAGCTTATTGGGCCTAGTTTTGGGCTTCATGGGCCTTTGGACTTTTGATTGCTTTTAAGCTTAATGAGCCCAATGGGTTTGGTGGGCCTAAGGTTCTCTTTACTTGGGCTTTACATGGATGACCACCTTTCTCATATATTTGGTAGTATAGGAGTTTATATTGTTTGGTCTTGTATTATGGGCCTTAGTATAAGACTTTTTGGGTTTTAAGCTTATTGGGCCTAATTTTGGACTTCATGGGCCTTTGGGCTTTTGATTGCTTATGAGCTTAGTGAGCCCAATGGGTTTGGTGGGCCTAGGGTTCTTTTTACTTGGGCTTTACATGGATGACCACCTTTCTCATATATTTGATAGTATAGGAGTTTGTATTGTTTGGTCTTATATTATGGGTCTTAGTATAAGACTTTTTGGGTTTAAAGCTTATTGGGTCATGTTTTGGGCTTCATGGGCCTTTGGACTTTTGATTGCTTCTAAGCTTAGTGAGCCCAATGGGTTTGGTAGGCTTAAGGTTCTCTTTACTTGAGATTTACATAGATGACCACGTTTTTCATATTTTTGGTAGTATAGGAGTTTATTTTGTTTGGTCTTGTATTATGGGCCCCAATATAAGACTTTTTGGGTTTTAAGCTTATTGGGCCTAGTTTTGGGCTTCATGGGCCTTTGGGCTTTTGATTGCTTATGAGCTTATTGAGCCCAATGGGTTTAGTGGGTCTAGAGTTCTCTTTACTTGGGCTTTACATGGATGACCACCTTTCTCATATATTTGGTAGTATAGGAGTTTATATTATTTGGTCTTGTATTATGGGCCTTAGTATAAGACTTTTTGGGTTTTAAGCTTATTGGACCTAGTTTTGAACTTCATGGACCTTTGGGCTTTTGATTGCTTATGAGCTTAGTGAGGCCAATGGGTTTGGTGGGCCTAGGGTTCTCTTAACTTGGGCTTTACATGGATGTCCACCTTTTCTCATATTTTTGGTAGTATAGTAGTTTATATTGTTTGGTCTTGTATTATGGGCCTTAGTATAAGACTTTTTGGGTTTTAAGTTTATTGGGCCTAGTTTTGGGCTTCATGGGCCTTTAGGCTTTTCATTGCTTCAAAGCTTAATGAGCCTAATGGGTTTGGTGGGCCTAGGGTTCTCTTTACTTGGGCTTTACATGGATGACCATCTTTCTCATATATTTGGTAGTATAGGAATTTATATTGTTTGGTTTTGCATTATGGGCCTTAGTATAAGAGTTTTTGGGTTTTCAGTTTATTGGGCCTAGTTTTGAACTTCATGGGCCTTTAGGCTTTTGACTGCGTTTGAGCTTAGTGAGCCCAATGGGTTTGGTGGGCCTAGGATTCTCTTTACTTGGGCGTTACATGGATGACCACCTTTCTCATATTTTTGGTATTATAGGAGTTTATATTGTTTGGTCTTATATTATGGGCCTTAGTATAAGACTTTTTGGGTTTAGGGTTTAGGGTTTAGATGTAATTTAGTAGAATGAAAAAAAATATTATTTTTCTTAAAAAAATTCGTATGACAAATTTGTAGTTAGAACGGCCCGTTCCGAATTCAGAACGGTCTGTTCTGGTTTAATTAGTCATGTGTTATTTTTGAATTTGAAACGGGCCGTTCTGATTTCGGAACGGGCCGTTCTGATCCATTCGTCATGTGTTAGTTTTTCATTTGGAACGGCCCGTTCTGATCCAATATTCATGTGTTATTTTTTCATGTAGAACGGCCCGTTCTGATTTCAGAACGGCCCGTTCCGAAAGTGAAAAGCAGTTGCGTCAGTGCATCGTAACACGTGTTTTTTTTTTTGTAATTTAAAAAAAATAATTTCAGTAAAAAATTTGAAAATTTTGATCCTGTGTGAAGGTATATAATATACTATTACTCATTAAATGATAATCTCAACCATTCATTATTTTTTATATTATATCTATGGTGATTATTGATGCACCACCTATGCACCACTCGTAAAAGTGGGCTATCAGAGACATTACCCTCTTTTCTATGGCATTGAGAAGTCGGGTTTGACGTCCCCAACTTCTCAACATGTTTTTTTAATTTATTTTTATAATTTATATAATAAATATATATAAATAAATCATAATATCATTAAGAAAATGTTTTAAATATAAATTAGATATATAAAATAAACTAAATTTAAATAATATAAATTATAAAAAAAATTAATATTTATTATTCGAACATAAAATATATTAAAATATATAAATCATAATTCTTGAAGTTGTGAACATTTTTTTCTTGAATGTCCAATAGTTCTACGATAATTACATCTTTTGGGTTGACCATTTTACTTGAGGTCCATCTCAATATGTATACGAGTAGATTTTAAGCAACATTTTGTATTTCTTTGCATTTTTGGATCATATCACCATTCATCTCCATTATATTTCGGCCACTCATATTTGTCAGGTAGTAA